AGAGCGGTTATGGTTATATGATGCTGGATCTGCCTTTTGCATTGTAGCAGTGTTGTGGTTTAACTGGGTAGTTATTTTTATCCAGTAACTGCTCAGAGGTTGATCAGGTGACAAAGTGACTCTGAGATTTCTGCCTGCTCCCAGTTGTGTTTTGGTTGCGTCTGTACTGCAGACCAAAAGCAGACATGTGGACTGACATAAAATTATTCATCTGAGGTACCGAAAGTGGGGAAGAACTTGCCTTGTAGGACTTCCATTTGTTAACATGTTTTTCTTGTGCTATCACATGATTAGAGGGAATGTAGGAAATATTTGTGTTTTGTGTACATAGTACATATTAAACGCACCTTATGCATTATTTGTTCTCTGTGGACTCAAATGCATTTGGAACTAAACATACCTTGATTGCTACATGTTGCTTGTGGCTGGATGAATATATGCATGTGCACATGGATGCTACCTGAGTTAGATATTTCCATTTCAGTTAGATATATTCAAAACCCACTTGAAGCAATTTTTTTAATACCCTTGGGTTGACAGTTGAACAAGAAGGCAACCAGAAGATTAATGCTTCTGAGGAAATTAAGACTTGTTCTTTGATTAGAGAGTGTAGTAGGATACACAAGTCCTAGGCAGTCAAGGTCAAACTAACAATACTGGTGTGCTGAATGTCCTAAATAATCTTATTTTTTCTTTCCTTTTTATTTTTTTTTTTAAACAGAGCAATAAGAAAGAAGAATGCAGGAGTTCTACTGCCAATAGTTCCCTTAAGCTTTATATTTGCCTATCATTATGATATGGGCTATAGGACACTGTTACAAAGGATAAAAGGTATGTGTATATAAGTCTGCCTGGATCACACATAGGACCAAACTTAATGTTGCAGATAACTTCTTATCTTTTTAGAGTGCCTGGGAGAAAGCTCACAACAGATTTTCTCTCTTTCTCTGGACAAAATTCTTGCTCTTTCATTTCTTTTCTTCTCTGTTACAATCAGATAGTTTCCCAGACAAGAGTACTTTACTTTTACAGCCTTTCCCTCCAGTTAAGACTGTTTGTTAATTTCTCCTCTTTTATTTCAAAAAATATGCATTCTAAGGCTATAAATAGAGCTGAAGTATAACTGTGTATCTGGGAGAAATGACAGATCTGTGATTTCCTTCCATATTCTACTCTGATGCTGTTTTGGTAAGGGGTAGGGATCATAAGAGCAGGTAACGGGCTACAGACAGGAATCATGCCCTTATACCTTCATGACTGACCACAGTCATTAGCTGATCATCTTGCCACAGCACCCTGCTAAGATGGAAAAAAGAAAGGTGATTCCCAGAAAGTAGGGTCTTGCCTCATAGTTGCCAGTGGCGGATTACAGAATCACAGAATCTTAGGAGTTGGAAGGGACCTCGAAAGATCATCCAGTCCAACCCCCCTGCCAGAGCAGGATCACCCAGACTAGGTCACACAGGAACGTGGCCAGGCGGGTTTTGAATGTCTCCAGAGAAGGAGACTCCACAACCTCTCTGGGCAGCCTGGTCCAGTGCTCTGTCACCCTCACAGTGAAAAAGATTAGATTAAGCAATAGGTGTTGAGAATTGCAGAGGTGCATTATGTTAGCTCTAATTCCTAGTGATGGAGACACACCAAGAGTGTTCACTGTAAGTGAAGACAACATTGGGCCATGGCTTGTCATCTTCACGAATCATCTTAGTTAACTAGCTTGATTTTCCTGTCTGCTACTGACACAAACATACTGAAACAAAACAAAAATTTGTTTCAGCTCTTGATCTTAGCCTCCAGATCTAAGTTTCCTAATTCTGTGTACTTCACGGAAAATAACAATAGATATTTAGATAAACTTTGAGGTATTTCCTGCTGCATACAGGTGCAAATATATTTAGGTGATGCAGCAATGTATATCTGCGAACAATTCCTAAACCGCACTAAACACATTCTTTGGATTTTAATAGAAAGAAGCATCTAAGCACAGGGAGAAAAACGGTGTGGCTCTTGGAAATTAGTGTGTTGAAATGGAGATTAGTACATACAATGCAGAAGGAACACTTGTAATTTATGATCTGTTAATAGTTTGTTTGGGTTGTTTTTTTTTTTAATAGGATGGTTTTATTCCAGAATTACGAAAGAGTAAGCATATCATAATGCAAACCCCATGGCAAGAGTATGTAACATGTTTACTCAGGACCATGTGGTCCTGTATAGATTGAAGAGGGGTAATTTGGTATCCTATTTCTTTCTAAATAGTAAAATTCATCTTCGTAACTTCAGATACACTAGAACAACTTCAGCAGTATGCAAGTCTTGTCAAAAGGTTTTGGAGAAAAGAAGCTATGGAGCTAAATGGACAACAAGATAAAATGAAATATGCCAAACTAACTCTGTCTTTTCCAGGAAAATTATGTCTCTTTTCCAAAAGAAATGTGGTAGATCATCTATAAACTCATGAAAGCATTTAGTGTGGTATCACATGAAGATTAGGTTAGCATGAAGGACAGTTAAGCATTGGAGTAAAGAGAAGACATCAAAGGTTTGTGCTTAAAAAGGCAGGCTAGGCTTTAGCAGGTTTATTAGCAATATTCCTCAATATTTGGTCTGGATCTGCATTTGTTTGGTATTTGAAATTATGAGTAGGTTATACTAATCAAGTCTGTGGATAACAAACTTGATTGGTGTCATCAACAGAGAAGATATAAACTGTAGTACAAAAGGAACTGATAACCTGAGTAACTGAGGTAATAAAATAGGATTCAATTTGATAAGAAAGTCAGATTGAAGCTAGAGACTGATAGGGATTTCTACAATCTGAGCTCACCAGCTGGAAATGATAGAAAAAGGGAAAAACCTGAATGTGTTAGGTGATCAGAGAATGAGTATAATCCAGTAGCATGATAAAATTATGAGAGTCAAGCAAAGTCTAGAAACATCAAGTGAGGTTTTCTAGTATCACAGCATGGTTGAGACTGGAAGGGGCTTCTGAAGGTTGTCTGGTCAAGCCCCCTGCTTAAGCAGGATCATCAAAAGCCAATTGCCCTGGAAAATGTCCAGATGGCTTTTGAATATCTCCAGGGATGGGTATTTCACAACCTTAGTACGATTAGAGAAGTACAGATAGGAAGGTATCAATGCAGGAAATTAGTAATACCTTTCTTGGATATTTATACATAAATTGGATGCAACTGGACTTGCCTATCCCGCATCAGCCTTTTTAGCCATCAGTGCGTTTGCAGCAAGCATGGGTAGTGTTCTTCCCTTATCTTTGTTTGCGAAGCCTAGCCATGATGATGATGTATATGGAGTCTAGAATTCCTGAGAAGCTAAAATTATCAGGGAATGCTGAGTGGCCTTGCAAGAGACAGAAATGTGGTTAGTTTGTTTAGTCTTGTAAAAAGACATGGGAGAGTTGAGTCTACAGATCCTACTTACAGGATAAGATAAAGGAAAGTAAGAGAAGGAAATTAAACTAATTACTAATATCAGCTCTGGAATAAAAGGAAGTGGACTAGCCTGAATTAATCTGGGCTGGAAATCAGAAGAAAGTTCATAATTATGTGAAAGTCAGGTTCAGGAATTGATTTTTATTTTAAGATTAACATTAAGTAGTTGAAGAGAAGGTTTTATGACACAATTGACCTGCAGCCACAGTGCTTGTTCTTATTACTCAGCTGAGCCCTGTGTCCACTCCGATACTTTCTCAACTACTTCTCTGCTTGCCCATGTATTCTGTTGGTGCATGGCATGCTTCATCTCTGTGGTGTAATATTGAATGTATACACCATTTCCGTTATTGTTCACTCTTTTGCTGGTCTCTGTCATCCAGAGTATACTGATCTTCAGCCTCATGGCCAATTTTCTCTCCTAAATTAATCTGCAGTTATTTCCATGCTGTACAATCTTCCTTGTATCTGAACCACCTTGATCAAATAGCCTGGTATTTGCAGCCCTTCATTCTTTGGTATCAGTTTATATCCCTGGAAGGTTTCTCTATTTCTTTTTCATCAGGCATTTTGTTTCTGACCTTGCTTACAGTTAATTTTTTCTTGTCTCTAGCCTACTTGTCCAAACATTTTCTCATGACTTGCTTGTTCTCCCACATCTAAATCGTAGGGGGTTTTCCTGCTTTATAACTTGGGCTAATTAAAGCAAAAACTGAAAACATAGAGGGAATTACCTGTTTTGAATTCTGCTTATGTTGTTGAAGAGCCGTAAGTGTGCCAGGGCCATGTATCAACTGAATCTTTCAGGGATGACAGGGTTACAGAACCACCCTCAGGTGCATTGTTTTTTCTGAATGGCTGAGGACACGAAGAATCAGTCGTGGACCTGCTATCTGTGTTCTTGGCCTTGCTGTTCTGCTTTTCCTCCCAGTTCAGGTATATATTGCTAGTGTTTTTCGGCAAAAAACATTAGAGCAGAGTTGGGTTTATATAGCTAGCTTCCAACTGCACAGAACTTCTCCACTAAGCAATGAAACTCTGGCTACCTTTACCAAGATTTAGATAGCTGTCCTGTTTGTATACTGAGTCATGTGAGAAGGATGGTGACTGGGTAATCTGCTCTAGTGCATGTGAGTGACAGGCACAAAATTTGACTAACTATAACATATCTCTGTCACCTAAGATCTATTGCTATTTCATAACCAGATGCTATATGCAACTGACCGGCATTGTGTTGTTACCACTTACTGCGAGTGGCAGTCAGTGTCGTCCTGTTGGATATTACTGATGTGTGGAGATCTCAAGCATGGTAATACTACCACAATTGCAGCTGGAGATTTCAGCATTTAATCCTGCTTTAAAGAATGAGCACAATCTTGACTCCACTACAATGTTCAATCAGGTTTACTTCACATAAATACAGCTTCCAATCACTGCCATAACAATTATCAAGCAAGAAGTTAAGGCCTAAGTAAACAAGATTGTTGGCTTTGTACCAAGTGGCATCAGCCAAAATAAATGCATTCATTGCCTTATCTTCACTGTTTCTTATATCACAATCAGACCACCATGACTTATGTATGGTGTTCAATCTGTATCTTTGTTTTTTGGATTCTCCATCTCAGATGTTTTCGTTCCAGCCTTACCCAGAGCATTCTGCACCCCACAGCTTTTCCCTGCTATGCTGTTAAGTCTGCATGTTTAGGTAACTGTCTTAGCAAATCTTTTTGTGAGCAGTGTGCTTTGACCAATGCTTCTTCAAGTCCTGGGCTACCCACTTTATGCCTGTAGGCTGGTATCTTTTGGCCTAGGCCTGAGGCAGGAAGAAAAACTGCACCCAAATATGGCACATCGAGGATACTGTGTACAAGAATTTACCTGTTAAAGCTTGTGTATGCTTTTATATCTGATCCACCTTCTTCTCTGACTTCTACTTGGTCAAATGCAGTATGGAGGTTGGTACAAAGGACATGGTAATGCTAAGTTCTTGCTGTACCTCATGTCTCCATTCCAAAGCATGTGTGTAATAAATCTCTAAACAAAACATCACAATAACTCAGTGTAGTTTTTAGGAGAAAGGGGCTAACAGGAACAGCAACAACAGCAGCACAATTGATTGTTATGGCTGAAGTTCTTTCAGACAGATGCAGCCAGAGGCAGATATTCACTTCAGACTGAACACTTCAGTGTGCAGTTATCCCACCAGTCAAAAATTTCCTAAAGACAACTTTAATGCTACATTGTCATCAGCTTGTTTGTAAAATACATAGTTGTGACCTGGTATTTTGTTGTTCTCACCCAAACAAAAATAGTTTAATTAGTTACTTAATTGTTTTGATTTATTTTTTTCATTTCCTTTGCTTTCTCACAGTAAGGGTGAGGAAATTTATTTAATTTCTTTGGGGTTTTTTTCAGGTGAAGCAGAGAACATACTGGACACACAGAGCACATTGCTAGAATTGCCAAAAGGACCACTTACTTATGAAGACCTGGAGAAAATCAGAAGATCTCAGAGCAAATTCTTCATAGAAAAATAGAAAGATGATATTAAAGCTTAATACCCGAAATGTGATTGTAATGTTGGTTTTGGACATAAATTAATCATTAAAATTTTGATAAAATTATGAGCTTTTATAAAATCAAAATATAATTCATTTTTTAAAATCAGTACTTTCTGAAGCAATGATTTTTATATTATATATATCTCTTCAAAATATCCATTGTTGCTGTGGTATATTTGTTGTGTTTAGAATGAAATATTGAATTTCTACTATGTATTTAGAGTCTGAAAATAACTTTCACGTGTAGTAAAAGGTCTGGTACTGACCAAACTCATTATAATCAACAAAAATAAGTTAATTGGTAGTTACTAATGTATACAAATATGGTCATAGTTTTCAAATATATTTAAGGATGCAAAACTCAATTTGAAGTCATTTGAAGACTGTCAACTTCTCTGAAGAATAAGACACTTTTTATTTGCTGTTCTTCAGGCAGTAAACTTGCCATCTCTGCTTCAAATTCTGGAATAAACAGCTTGTATCAGAAGTAGTTTCAGAAGTAAACATGTCTTTTGCTAACTGTGTTTTACTCTTAGGAAAAACTGTATTAAAGTACAAGCAGAGATAATTTCTCAAAAAGAGAAAACAAATTATGTAGCTATTTCCTGAATCTTTTTCATGCTTGTTTGACATTCTGAAACTCAGAATAATTTCTTTACATTAAATCAGAGTTTCACTTCTAAGATTAATATTAACTTAGGCTAACAGCAAGCAAAATTGTTAATCTATGTTTTTATAATGAGTAGATCCAAGGAGCCTTACAAGTACTGAAAAACTGAGAGATTTTTTTTGCATGCCTTTACTCTAGCATGGTATATACTGCAAATATAATTTTGGTATATTTTAGTGTTCTGATGTTACACTTGGGAAAAAAACGCATTTTTCTGTATTGGAAACCTTGTTTAAAAACAGATTATTTTGTGTTTTGGATGGAAACTCTTCTAGAATTAGTCTAGTTGTGAAATTAAAAACAAATGCTCAAAAAGCATACAATAATGAATTAAGCCTAAGTCTGTATTGGCAGTTTATTAAAAATTGAATTCCAGCTGGAGATAATTCCCCAAATCTGTTTTTGAAGTCTACTTGACTAAAATTAGAATACTGTTACAGTAAGACAGGTGAATATATAATAAAACAAAAGCTTCTCAATGTAGAGGAAATTAATAGCTCAGATTTCATAGCTGTGTAAGATTGATTTCTGAAAGTGCATTCACTTCTGCATTCAATTACTTCTGTAATTGGTTCTGTCATCTGCACCTTAATGACGCATACAATATGTAACAGATTTCAAATGTGATGCATTTTACTGTGCAGCGTGATAAAATGGTTTATAATGGCTTGTTTGATTATACTAGCTTGGTCTACATTTTGGCTGGCCAGGATTTAAGGCGGTGATTTTAATCATTGTCTTGGGAGGTGTGGCCAACTCAGCCTATGGTGCTACCAGTGCTTTGTGAGCTCACAAAATGCAGCTCAAGACTACCTCCTGCCTTCTGCCTGTCCTATAACATAACCCCTCACCACTTGCTGCTATAGTATGTACTACTCTTAGGGTATATGTATCGCTGCTTTCTTGTTTTACTTTGAGTAACAGATCATCTACTAGCTTTCCTTCAAGTTTTGAAGTCCCCCTTGCTTTAGTTTTGAAGAAGTTATGGCTTTTATGCTTTGATCTCTCTGATCTGTTGATAGATCTTTCTTCCAAGAAAGAAAAACAATTAAACCAGCTTGTTTTGGTATTTGTATGTCTGCACCTATACCTTTTAACCCACTTTTTAAGGCTATGAAAGATGTTTTTACAACAGTTTTAATGACCCATCCAGCAGTTTTACTTAAAATTAGGAAATACCCTAATCCTATCCACTATGTAATATCAATTAGTATCTCTGTGTTTGCAATAGATTGCTGGAATTGCTATGGTGTTGGATCAAAAGTGTTGAAGGAAGAAAACAAGCTAAGCAAAATAATGACCCAGAGAGCAGTTTTAGGAGATAATAGGATAGTTATTCATTACTCCATCCTAGCTAAATTTGACTTCTTTTTTTCTCCCGAAGGTTAAACTTATATCAGTAGTGTTAATTCATTGTAAGACTCCACACTAAAAAGTGTTGGAAATGGGGTAAATTTAATTCAGTGTTACACAGTATCAGTGAAAGCTACTAAATTTACAAGGGAAAAGCAACAGGCTGTAAGCAGGACCGTCTAATACTAAACCCAGAAATGGATTTAAATGGGCTATGTAGACTGTGCCAAAGATTATCAAGATGTTAAGTATTAGCCACCTTTACTGCCTTTTATTTTTTACTATTAGCTTTGCTTTTTTTCTTGATAAATAAATGCTTTGTTTTGAAGATGATCATCTTTGTTATGGTCTAGTTATTCTAGTGCCAGTGTATTAATCAAAATGCTTGCAGGTGCCACTCCCAGTCCTATCTGTCACATACACACTCAGCTACATACAACTGTATGAGAGAGAACAAGGAATGAAAGCAAGCAGGAAATTGTTACCTTTGACAGGGTCTACTGCAGGGAACCAGATGTTTACAGCACAAGTTGCCCATAATCATTGTATCAGTTGTACTCATAGAAATAAGTAAATGAAACACTAAAACATCCTGCTCCCTTCTGGTGTTGGACTTTAACTGGCTTCAGCTGTAACACTTACTTTAATATATCACAGCAACTGTCTTTGTTTTCATGAGTCATTGGGGAAGAGAAGGAGAATAACTGCAGGGGCAACTTGTTCTGACCTGAGGGCACTACTCTTACCACCTTAATCCTGTTGGTTTTTCTGGTCATAATGTCTGATAGCCATATATCCTGAATCAGTGTCACTCAAAGCAGGATTCTTCGTGAAAGTGACAAGTCGGTTGTGATTAGGAAGTCAAAATTAAACTCCTATGTTCTCGTTATGGATATGTCTCATCTAGAATCCAAGAAAGTGCATTCTTCTTGCGAGCCACAACTGATTACACCACACTTTTCTTCTTAATCTGGTTTTGATATGATACCTGGGCATTGTTGAGAGGAACAAGCAAAGTTACTTCAGGGCGTCCAGTTTGGACCCCTTCCTTTATTCCGTGGATGAATGATTTAACTTTTCTGAAGTTTTCCTTACAATAGGGAAAAGTTAATTATTACAGCCTCATCCTAAATGTTTGGAAGTTATTTTATGACTATGACTGCATATCACTGCTTTTAAAAGCAGAAGGGGAAAGCACTTATGAGGGATAGGCAAACAAGATACTTTCTGCATTATTATTTAATTGCTTAATCAGTCTTGGAATAAAAAATGGTTTTTTAAATTTATTTATTTATTTATTTTAACTATTAGCTTTCTTAAAGGTGACCTGCTTTATGAAACCCACAGTCATCTTCTGATAAAGCCCTGCATAAGGCAGCTGGAAAACTTAAGTCACCAATTGCTTGCATGCAGTGGCATTTCACATCTTTTGCAGAATTCTGTCTGGTACTAGCAAACTTAAGAAATAGTTTAAATTCATGTTTGGGCAACTTTCAAAACCTAAGTAGTTCTTGCAGCAGTCAATTGCATGAGTTTGAAATTAAATCTCTGAAAAAGACTAACGTAGTCTGTGCATTTCTGATGAGCCTCTCATCTTCTGTGTAGATTGTCTGACATTTAACATGTGAATAAGCCTTTCATTCAAGGTATTTGAGGGTATCAGGGTACTGTTAGAGGGTATCTTTTTGCTTTAGCCATCTGTTTTCATTAAACATCCTCTACCCTCTATAAATTTTGGTTGCTGTTGGCCAACAGATCCAAAATCTAGTGCAAAGGAGAAAAACAGCACAGTCATCTTTATCTTATCTTAGGAAACTAAAAAATACAAAATACTTGCATTGAGACAGTATACTGAATGTACCTATCTTGCAAGATCCTACGGATCATGAATGGAATTGCATTTCTAGTCTAGGTGATCCTGCTCTGGCAGGGGGATTGGACTGAATGATATTTCGAGGTCCCTTTCAACTCCTAATATTTTGTGATTCTGTGTGTGTGTGATTCTTTGCTGTTGGCTGTTCCTCTTTATAATACAAAGAGTGAGAAGGTGGATAGTTACTTCATATTTGTTATATTTGAATTATTTATTTTCTTCTGCATATATTGTTTTGAATAGAAGTAGTTTTTCTAGCTATGATGAACAGATAAACAAACCCAGCTTCTGACTTGATTTAAATTCATGGCAAATTACTGAGAGATTGCCAGTCAAGCTTTTATGTATAAAATCCTGTATGATTCAAAGTTATATGACTAACTTTGTAAGTTTCTTTGTAACCTACTATTCAAATCGCAGTAGATGTAGTTGAGATGCAAAGGCAATGTTTCTAAAATACGGACGGAGGAAACATTGAGCAATATACCCTACTAGTGAAACTGCATTAAACATCGTAACATTAAGCAATGTCAAACTACTGCCAGCTCATTCAGGTAAGATCCTTAATAAAACTCATTAACTTGCTGCCTGTTCTTGCAGTCTTTAATCCTAGCAAGAGAGCATTCGTAGCCTGTCCTTTTCAACAAGAAGAGTGATGAAGAGTGCTGCAATATGGCTCCCCTGAGGAATTATGAATGTCTTGAAAAGACATTCCTTCCACGGTCTCTGACAACTCATGCTCTGTCACCTACAGAAAGTACTGTCTTTCACATTCGGTAGTCCTGATGAAGAAGCGGGTGAGGTCAGAAAAACTGGAACAATTTGTTTTCCAGTCTCTTGAGTGCTTGCACGTAGCAGCTGTGGTTGGAGGTTGTGTGCTTCAGACGGTTGCAAAAATTAGGTTCTTACAAAAAACACTGAAGATGGGCATCATAATGGCTGCCTTTGCTTAGGGAGAGTTAGGTGTGGTGCCACAGTAACTGATGGTCTAGTTAAATTTCAAACTAAAGCACACTGAGAGTCAGTTTTCCAGCTAGGTTGACAAATCAGCCTGTTACCTGGGGACCACTCTCAAAATGC